TTTTTGACATTGAAGCCCACGTTGTCCCCCGGCAGGGCTTCAGACAGAGCCTCATGGTGCATCTCCACAGACTTTACCTCAGTAGTTACATTAACAGGTGCAAAGGTCACCACCATCCCTGGCTTCAGAATGCCAGTCTCCACACGACCCACAGGGACAGTTCCAATACCTGATCAAATTTTAAATATAACTCCATCACTTATTTTAACTGAAAATGATATGTAGTATTGCACTGTAACACTAAATATTTTTTGCCTGGCAATAAATGCTGTCTTGCACAAAGCATCACCTCCAATCTTGTAGACATCCTGCAGTGGCAGACGGAGCGGTTTATCAGTGGGACGGGTTGGGGGCTGGATGGCATCCAAAGCCTCAAGGAGAGTAGTTCCTGACACACTGCCATCCTTGCGGGTGATCTTCCAGCCCTTAAACCAAGTCATCTATATATATACAATAACAGACACCTAGCAATATTATTCTCATAATTACCATAAATATTAATGCACCATCAGAGAATTTGTCAAAATAATAGGGCAGTTTTCTTGTCAGCTATCATGTCACACATACATTGGGGCTGGCCTCCAACATGTTATCACCGTTCCACCCAGAAATGGGGACAAATGCCACGGTTTCAGGATTGTATCCAATCTTCTTAATGTAAGTGCTGACTTCCTTGACAATTTCTTCATAGCGCTTCTGGCTGTAGTTGGGCTCGGTGGAGTCCATCTTATTAACACCTACGATGAGCTGTTTTACACCCAGTGTATAGGCCAGGAGAGCATGCTCTCTGGTTTGACCGTTCTTTGAGATACCAGCTTCAAACTCGCCAACGCCAGCTGCCACTATCAGAACAGCACAGTCTGCCTGGAATACACAAACAGAAAACACATGAAGCACTGTACAAATCCAAGAACATAATTTTAAGCTGCAACTTTTAAAGTCACCCAAATTCACTTTGATGGTCATATTTTTCTTTCTCCCAGAGCAATGTTGGATTATCAAACCTGAAACTGTGTGTATGATAGTACGTATAGTGTGTGTTTTCTCTAACAGCAGCTTTGATGGCAGTACCAGCTATAATTCAAACGATAGGTCTATGGTATATTTAATAGTTATATCTAATAGAGCATTGTCTCTATAGTAACAGCTCATTCACAGGTAGTATGATGGACACTCCAAATGATCTAAGCTTAATAAGATAAATGAATTAAGAAAATGTGTTGCTGTTTAACAAAGAAAAATGCATAATTGTTGACATGGTGAAGCTTTTTGTAAGTAGATGTTTATTTAGCATTTAATGAATGAGTCTCGAGTGTCAGTACTTTGTAATGATTAGTAGGTTTTCCTCCATAGGAGAGTTCTCAAACAGATGAGTTTACTCTTTGTGTTTTTATTGTCATTTTTAAATTATTATATAGTGGGTGTAGCTTTTCATTACATAACTTCAGTAGAGAGAAAAAAGAGAGAGCCTGGTGAGGGAACAATGTTTAGAGCCACTATAACGTAAGTGATAACAGAAACTAACTTGACTTGTGGACGCTCCGGAACAATAAATTTAACCATAAACAGATGAAAAGACATGAAGTCTCATTTGTTAATAAATTAATAATTGCAATCGGGTAAAAAGGGGAAACGGGGGAACAGTGCCTGTGGTATAAAAAGAATAAAATACTTTGGGAGATGCTATTATAGGAATGTAATCTAACGGCCCTCCACTTTATGTTGAGCCATATCACACCACCCCATTGTGAATTATTTTTGTATAACAGCACACCCCATCCGGTTTTATTCTTACATAAGAAATGTTATTAAAAAATAGTAGACAAGTGCTCACATTTTTATTTTCCTAAAATAAAAAAAAAAAGACTACGAATATACACATTTGAAAACCTGCTCTACACAAACACATATCCTTCCTATTTATCTATAATCATCACATTTTATAAAGCTATGGTACAAAGCAAGTAACCCAGAAAGCAATGATTAATAATGTATTGCTCTGAAGGACTGACCTGGGAGGTGCCAGTAATCATGTTTTTGATGAAGTCCCTATGCCCAGGCGCATCAATGATTGTGACATAGTACTTGCTGGTCTCAAATTTCCACAGGGAAATGTCAATGGTGATACCACGCTCCCGCTCTGCCTTCAGCTTATCCAACACCCAGGCATACTTAAAGGATCCTTTACCCATCTAAAACAGTTTAGACCGTAATGTAAGAACATGTCAGGTGAAACAGTGTCGTCTTTGCATTTGAAACGGTTTTGTTTCGAGGTTTAAATGTCAAGGTTGCCATCTTACTTCTGGAACAGCCCTACCTCGGCAGCCTCTTTCTCAAACTTCTCGATGGTTCTCTTGTCGATGCCACCACACTTGTAGATGAGGTGGCCAGTCGTAGTGGACTTGCCAGAGTCAACATGGCCAATGACCACAATGTTGATGTGGAGTTTCTCTTTTCCCATGGCTGGTTATACTTAACTGTGAAAAAAACACAAAACTAATAAATAGTGAGATGTTACAGTGAAATGTTTCGAGCTCAGCAAATGTATTTGAGGTGGAGGATGCACACTATAAAATAGTTGTAACATGTTAGACAGTGAGCAAAGCTATACTTGTGCTTTTAGTTCTAGCTGAGCTTAAAGCACCCTCAACACTTTCACCTACAGCTTAGTGTACAGCACCATGGACAAGGGCAGAAGCAGAACACACACCAGCTGCTTTTTCTGCAATCCATTTCAGCAACTTTATGAAACTGAATTCTGGACTGAGGTCAAACAGTAGATGGCAAGCTAAAAACCTGAAGTTTCTGTTTTGTTTTGTTCCCTTCTTTTTTGTTGTCATGTCATGTTAGTTTTACATTTCATTAGCACAAGCATGATACCTGACACCAAACTGACATGCAGCAAGGTGCACAAAGGCTCTTCCACTTCCGGTCTCTGCTCATTATGCTCACACACACCCTGTTCTGCTCTGGCTATTTGCAAATTTTTTTGTGTTGTATAGCTCAGCTCAGGAGCACCAGGCTGATGCAACTGCATGAGCGTTCTTTCTTCAGTACTTCCCACACCAACCATTCAAGCAGACCTCCATTTTGTAAGCAGTACTCTGAGCAGCCATTTGAGATTAAAAAAAAAAAGGAATCTACCAAAATGTAAAATCACAGTCTATTCCAGCTCCCATCCTGTCTATCAAGACTGAATAAACTGTAATATTTCCCACTCACATCCCATTAGGTATTATATCATATTTAGTCACTGGGAACTGGTTATGCTATATATAGGGTTTGATGCAGTTTATTATATTCAGGTAGCATTCACAATAAATATTTCATGCTAAATTCAATCCTAAACTTTAACAGAAGGATTAATCTTATTCAGATGACCTAACATTGGTTTAACATGGTTACCCAATAACCTTGAGAGTTTATTCTAACAGGATGCACTTCAAACGTCAAATTCACATGACAAATAACTCTAAATGACTAGAGTAGCCGGAATGTTCTGGCACACACACACACACACACACACACAGAGAGAGAGAGAGAGAGAGAGAGAGAGAGAGAGAGGTCAGAGGCATGTCTGGGAGATTTAATAGCACAAGCTCCTCACTGCAGCCGCCGCCATGTTCCTTCATCCTACACACTGGCTCTAACGCGCCGTCTAATCCCCAGCATCACTCTCAGCGCTACATACGTACACAACATGGTCATTTGAATGATATAATGATACAGAGTTGAGTTTGAGTCTAGTGTCTATGTAATGGCCACGGCTGTGGTGTAATGGAGGAGATACAGTACCTGTGCTGTAGTGACACGGCGCTGAGGCTCACACACTGACACACTGACGCGCTCAGAGCTGCTTTATATTGCACCACAGTGCGTCTGCGCACTTCCGCGCGACACTACTCACCGCTCACTGGCTTTTTAGTGGGTTTTGGTCGATTTAACTTTGGTTTTATTAGATATACAGGATAAAGTATTACTCAATAAACAGTTAGCATCGATATGAATAAATACATGTACCGCATGTGTGTCAGATGGGTCAGAAGTATGGCATTTGCCTGTTCATGGCATAAAAGCGAACTTAAAAACAATTCGTGGATTTCTAACGTGCACTCCAACAACTGTAATACTATATACACACACCTGATTTCAAAATCTCTTTATGCAAACACAAAGAAACGACACTCTGAAATGAAGGTAATTTTTCTTGTCGCTGGGGTGGATGCATGTTTCCTACCTTTAGCATGTTTTCCTAAGAAAGAGCATTTGGTGTACGTTATATGGCCAAAAGTATGAGGACACCTGACCATCACACCCATATGCAGGTCTTCCCCAAACTGTTACCACAAAGTTGAAAGGACACAGCTGTGTAGAATGTCTTCTATGCTGTGGCATTGCAGTTTCTCTTCATTGGAGCTAAAAGGCTCAAACATGTTCCAGCATGACAATGTCCCTGTGCACAAAGTGAGGTCCATGAAGACATGGTGTGCCAAGGTCAGAGTGGAAGAACTTGAGTGTCCTGCACAGAGCCCTGACCTCAACCCCACCGAACACCTTTGGGATGAACTGGAACGCTGACTGTGTGCCTGACCCCACTAATGCTCTCGTGGCTGAATGAGCACAAATCCCCTCAGCCATGTTCCAAAATCTAGTGAAAAACCTTCCCAGAAGAGTGGAGTTTATTATAACAGCAAAGGGGGACTAAATCTGGAATGAGATGTTCAACAAGGACATATGGGTGTGATATATATGTGGCCATATAGTGTACCTTTAATTAAGTTTTAGAGTAGCATTTCTTAAGGCCCAATTATGTAGTTGTTGTTCGTCTTTCGGCTGCTCCCGTTAGAGGTCACCACAGCAGATCATCGGTCCACGTATTTTGATTTGGCGCAGTTTTTACACCAGATGCCCTTCCTGACACAACCCTCTCCAATTTTATCTGGGTTTGGGACCAGCACTGAGAGCGCACTGTTGCATGCAACTCCAGTGGCTGGGGCTGGTTCCCTGGCCAGGAATCTAACTTGGGCTGCAGCAGTTAGAGCCCTGTGGCCTAACCACTAGTCCTCCAGGGACCCTACTTAAAGCCCAATTATGTACCCTAAATTATTTTTAAGGTTTCCCAGTAAAATATACACACTAATGGTACAAAAGATGCCCCTTCTATGGTATCATCCCAGCCATAAAGAAAAGCACAGTTTATTACCTTTATTTCATTGGAAATTGATTGTTTGATGACAGCTTGTTTTAAAGGCACAGTGGGTGTAACCCCCTTCATCAAACTAGTATCTATTAACCTACAATTTTAAACATTTTGAAACAACGTATGTACATACTCACAAGCCACTTTATTAGGAACATCTGTACATATTTTCTTTCATGCAATTATCAAATCAGCTAATCATGTGGCAGCAGCGCAATGCATAAAATCATGTCAACAGCTTCAGTTAATGTTCACATCAAACAGAATGAGAAAAATGTGAGCTCAGTGACTTTGACCGTGCCATGGTTGCTGCTGCTAGACAGGCTGGTTTGAGTATTTGAGAAATTGCTGATCTTCTGGGATTTTCACATATAACAGTCTCTAGAGTTAACACAGAATGGTGTGGGGAAAAAAAAACATCCACTGAGCAGCAGTTCAGTATGGAAATGGCTTGTTGATGAGTGAGGACTGGACTGGTTCGAGCTGAGGGGAAGTCTACAGCAACTCAGAAAAGCATCTCAGAATTTCACAACATGTCGGACATTGAAGCAGATGGGCTACAACACCAGAAGACAACACTGGGTTCAACTCCTGTCAGGCAAGAACAGGAATCTGAGGCTACAGTGGGCTTTTAGGGATGCAACAGATAATGCATCCTACACTAATACTAAGTAATTCATTAATTAATTTTTAAAAAGCTTGCTAGAAAGCTTCAGAATAGGTGTGTGCATCAGGATCCTGCAGGGTGAAAACAAAAAATTTGTTTAAGAACTTGTGGGGCAGGGTGCGAGGTTTCAGCAAAATTCCCACCTCAAGTATAAACACAGTGAACTCCAAAATAAATCTATACTTCTACCATATTTCTGTACAAAAAAGGAAATACTGTATATTTTCATTTATAGAGCCATTGCTCCATATAGCTCAGGCAGACCATGCGCTGTGCACAGAGCTGCATCTCTCTGCAGGGCTCTCCACAAAAATTATTTCATTAATTTAAAAGAAACTGTAAAACTTGTTCTTTGCAAGTTTTTGTCACTCTTAAATGACCATTCTCTACCATTATTAAAGAAAATCTTCTCTGAAAATCATAAGATTGTTATAATGAAATACCACTTTAAAAAAATTTTGACTTGCAGAAGCACTGCAAGTGTGTCCCACCTTTATCGTAGATTACGATAACGTGTCCAGCAAACTTTTCTGATCTTTCTGGAACGTAAAAAACCTAAAAACTTAAGTAAATCTGTTAAAATTATTAGACAGCTATTGTCAACTGTAGCCTAAATAACAATTTCTCCATTTTAGGAAAGATATCACTTCTTTAAAACTGCTAGCTTTCTTATTCACTCATATTAGATAGAAGTTAGAAAGCTTGCCACAAAGTTCCACAGGGCATCTGGTTGAGGAGATAAATAAAGTAAGTTATCTATCTATCTATCTATAAAATAGATGTGTGTGTGTGGAAAGATTATTTACGTAAAAATAAATTAAGTTCTAGATATAAATGGTGCAAAATGTCTTTATAAAACAACAAGTAGCAATCATGGTGATGGAGAAATCAAGGTGATGGAGCTTCCTAAAGTTCTCAGGGACAACATTATTGAACAATACTCAAATGGGAAAGATACACAGCCATAGCAAAGCCCTTAAACATTGCTGTCAGTACAACTGGTTTGATAATATGCATGTGGAAAGTTTATGGAACCGCAACTAATCACCCCCAAACAGGTGTGCCTAATGATACAGAAGTTAAGACAGCCAGCAGTCACTGCAAGATGACCTGAAAGCAGTAGGAGCAACAGTTACACATAGAACAATAAGCAATGAACTGCAGTAGTCTCCATACCTACACCTCACACAAAACTCCTCTGCTATAAAAGAAGCAGAGAGATATGCACATGAACCTTTAGAAAAATCAGAACTCTCTTGGAACAAAAATATGAAACAAAAATATAACACTGCCAATAATTAAACTCAGGGAAGAAGGGGCGCACTTATGATGCCAAGAACACCATACTCACAGTGAAGTACAGAGGTGGGAGCATCATGTTATGGAGCTGTTCTCTGCAAACGGTGCTGGGGCTTTACACGTATTCGAAGGAAACATTAATTGAGTGATGTACCGTGACAGAGGAGTTTCGGCCTAAAAACTGAATCTGGGGAGAAGATGGACATTTAAACAAGATAACAACCTCAAACATACAGCCAAACAACTCAAGACCTGTTTGGAGGATTTTGAAACTGTGAGTTCATCAATGGGACCTTCATAACCTTGGGAAATTGAATACAAACACTGCAAAATTGAACCACACTACTGCAAAAAGCTAATTACTTCTTAGAGTAGACGTTGCAAAGCTGTAATTGCTATTAGAACTAATTAATACTTATGTTAATTTGTGGTGGTTGAATACTTTTTTCCCCCTATCAATTTCATTTTTCAAACATATCTTATGTTTATTCATATTGTTTTTGTTCACAAGCACAAAGTCAAAAGACATTATGTGTTTAAATTTGAAGTGGATGTATGCATTGGAAGTACATTAAATAGCAATTACAAGAGTACCTGAATACTTATTTTCCCTCACTGTTAAAATCATGTGAATGTCTTTATAATTTAATAATTTTTAAGATGCCCCAAATTACTAATTACAGTTTTACTGGGACAATATTAAAATGCAATAAGTATTGCATTTTAATAAATATATATAATATATATATTTAAATGCGTGAATGGTTGCATGAAACACAGCACAGCAATTGTCAAATGATGCATTGCATTTTTTGTGCTCTCTTACGAAGGCAGACTGATAAGCACAGAATGTTACTTAAGCCTACTACTGAGTATGCAGAGATTTATTTAGTATACTGTGTTCATATCATTTTGGAGCTTGATATTGATGTTTACTTTTTTTTTTTTAATCCTATGTAATACTGCTACTGCATGAAATAATATATAAATAATAACATAACAATTATAATAACATAACAGAACTTAATATATTACCTTATTATCTCACCTTTTACCTTTGGTGTTTTTATTGTGATTTTTCCTAAATCTGTTGTATTAATGGCAAGAAAGCCTAGACAATTTGGAAATTCAAAACCTACCAATATATGTGAATTCACATGTACAAAATACTACAGTTAACACTATTTTGTTCAACACAAACATTAGGTTTAGGCACAGCATGATCCTCTAATCTAGAATGAGAGTGATCCACGAGCGCCATATTTTTTTATGAAACATATTAAGACAGCATGTTTAAAATAACATCTTTGGATTGTTAAGTAATTTAACAAACATAGCATATAATCAAAACAAGCCTTTCAAGAAGAGTTAATGCTACTGCAATGTTAATTTAATGTTCTTGATATTAGACCAATTAGTTCCCCCATATTAAACTCTACACCATTAGCAAAATGAAAAATAACCAAACCGTACAAGACTGATTTATGCATTTTAATTACTTTGAATGAACATGATTTTTTTTTTATGGTCAGGGGAGATTAAGCGAATGCAAGACTTTTCACTGGTGAATGCTGAATAGACATGGCTTACACAATACTTCAGCTATGTAGCAAACTGCATGGGGACAAATGTTCTTTTCACTTAAGGTGTCATTCTTACAATTCATTCATTCTTATTCATTTCTTTCCACCTTTTCCATTCCTGAGATATCTGACTTCATGTCTTAAGTAAACAATAGATTACAATGAGCTAAAAAAAAAAAACAATACTGTGATGTGTATATAAAAAAAAAAAGAATACAAAAACAAGCAACTATATACACCTCCTACCTTTTATAGCAACATATTACCCATATTATGTAAACAGACAGAAAGTAAAACCAAGTAAAATCTCAGAGATTGTGGGTCAAGTGTTTTATAATGAAACCATTTTATGGGCTTACAATAAAAGTAAGGCACAATACCAAGAAAAATAAGGGAAGGTTATGTAGGATTTACACTGGCTTTATATGAGATTTTTTCAACAAAGAGAAAATGAGATTCAATTTGATTCCAATGATTTTCAGACATTTCCTTACTATTAACATAAAAGATTAAAAACAACAAATTTCTCATTCTATCATTGCACTGTCTTCAAAATTATTATAACCAACAGTAATTCTAAACAGAACATAAAAGTATAAAAATCTAAACTAGCATGTAGAGTGCAATGAGCCAATTATCAGTCACTGCAGAAATTCCTCTCTAGCCCCACAGGTCTTATATCAGCAGACGCTGAACATTACCACCCTTTACATTTACAGATGTGCCAACACTGATAACAAGTAAATCCTAGCCAGCAGAGAGACAAAACAGAATTTTATCCCCAAAGACCCTAGCTTATGTCTGTGGACAAGGCAGCTTTTTTCCCCCAGATGTGCGCAAAGAAACAGTAAGATGTCATCCGGTGAGACCACTACTTAAAAATAAGTAGCTCTTCCTTTTTCCCCCCAGAGACTACAGTCTCACTCACTTGGTTTCCATTGATTCAAAAGACCAGGCTTGTGAATTTATAGGTCAAAATTCACCTAGATAAAGTCAGCAGAAAGTGTAAGTAACTGAGAAGCAAATGAGAGTCTGTGATGTCCCACGTCCTTTCCCCCTCAGTAAAATAACTATTCTGACAAGGATTTTACTTGTGTATCATTATTTTAACTGAAAATGCAGAACAAGTGTAGATTCAGGTGTCTCCTATATCACCAAGGGGTCACAAATTGTAAATCCTGCAGATAAACCATAGATGCTGGCACCTCTGCATTTTAAACAAGTCTATTTAAGCTACAACTTTAATCTAGCTCAGTTCACTTCATGTTCCTAGATGGAAGAGTGAATAAGCATATTAATGTACACACTAAAAAAATGTAGACA